TCTATAGTCTAGTCTATAGTCTAGTCTCTAGTCTAGTATAGTCTAGTCTAGTCTAGTCTATAGTCTAGTCTATAGTCTAGTCTATAGTCTAGTCTATAGTCTAGTCTATAGTCTAGTCTATAGTCTAGTCTATAGTCTATCTATAGTCTATAGTCTAGTCTATAGTCTAGTCTATAGTCTAGTCTATAGTCTAGTCTATATTCTAGTCTATAGTCTAGTCTATAGTCTAGTCTATAGTCTAGTCTATAGTCTAGTCTATAGTCTAGTCTATAGTCTAGTCTATAGTCTAGTCTATAGTCTAGTCTATAGTCTAGTCTATAGTCTAGTCTATAGTCTAGTCTATAGTCTAGTCTATAGTCTAGTCTATAGTCTAGTCTATAGTCTAGTCTATAGTCTAGTCTATGGTCTAGTCTATAGTCTAGTCTATAGTCTAGTCTATAGTCTAGTCTATAGTCTAGTCTGTAGTCTAGTCTATAGTCTAGTCTATAGTCTAGTCTATAGTCTAGTCTATAGTTTAGTCTATAGTCTAGTCTATAGTCTAGTCTATAGTCTATAGTTTAGCCTGTTGTCTAATCCTTAGTTCAGTTTATTGTCTAGTCTATATTCAAAAAATTTCAAAATTATCTTTTTATGAATCCTAACCATTTGTTCGAATTTATCAAAAAAAAAGGAATTAATATTAATTATTATTAATAATATAAATTATTTTATAATTAAATTTTTTTATTTTCTAATATATAGGTTGAGGGCGTCACAGATCCTGTCAAATTACAAATGACTGCCAACTCGCTGGCGCTGATGGCGCGTTCATTGTCGTTTGATAGTGAATTTATGTCACCGTTTGCTATTAATGCTAGACGCAACAATATAAATGCAACGGGTAAGTTCTTCAAAGAACCCCAGCTTTAAAAATCACTAAACTAATTTTTATATTATCTTTTTGCAGGAGGCAAACCTGATGATATAACTGTGGTACTCGCAACTGTAGCAATGTAATTTAATTTCTTTGAATCGTAGTAGTGATTATTATTTTTAATTTATATTTTTTAAGTTAATGCTAAATATCGATTTGTGTTTAAACAAAAACAGGATAATTATTCTTTTTTTTATTTTCTTCTTTCGCAACTAAATTCATTTTTGTAATTAATGCGTGTTTAGACTTTCTTCTACAATTTCAATTGTCGTTTGCGTATGTTTTCGTCAATTGTGTCTATACCTTGTAATATGTCTTTCGTCTTTCATAACTGACTTATTAGTTTAAGTTCTTTAGTTAAATCTTAATTGTTCTGCTCTTGTCTCAATAGTCATTAGGTATAACTATTATAAACAAATTAATAATTTTTACTTCTTGAGATCATTTAATACCACTCATTTTCTTTAGTATCATTTTTTATATGTATAATTTTTTTTTGTTAAGCTATTTTTTTGTTTGTTTATTATATTATCCATCTCATTTATGTGTATAATTTTTTTTTGTTTGTTTTTTCCTCTTATTTTAATTGTTTAATTTCATTTTTCTTTTGTTTTCTATTTGTTTGTATGTATGTGTTAAACAAGTTCCTCAGGTCTTTTGTTGGCTAAGTTTAATTAATTTGTATTTTTTGTGTCCTAATACAAATGTTTTTTTGCTTTTGGCTTAAAAAAACAAACGAGAAATCCCCGCTTAAAGAAAATCCCTATTAATTTTTTAATAAATTTCGATTGTGTATTTATTTGTTTACGATCAAACGAAATTTTAGCAAAATAATAAAACAAATATTTTGTAATATTGTAAAAAAAGATGAGAAGTTGTACTATATAATGAAGCCTATTAAAGTTAAAGAAACTAATTAAGCTTAATGCAAACGATAAAACGATTTCTTAAAACTAAACAGAACAAGCTTTAACATTATTATTTTTTTTTTCTAATAACATACAAATATTTAATTTAAGTTATTTTATTAAGCGTTTCACTAAAAGTTTACGAGTCTGTACAAAAATACAACAAAAGTTTAACAAATTATTTAAGTATTTTGTTTTATTTTTTTTATTACATAATTAGGACTTTTCGACTGAGTACAAAATTTTGTAAATTGGCTAATATTTTATATTTTTTTTTTATATTTTTAATTTGCAATAAACATTTTTTCTAAAATTACATAAAATTTACACATATATGGCAAAATGTTTAATAAAATAAAATGTACATTCTATGAATTTAAAGAAAAATTTATGTTTTTTTATTTGTCCTTATTATTTTATTAGTTTTTATGAGAGTAGTGATTTGCATTTGCGTTTACAATAAGCAAATCGATTTGCTTTTTGATACAACCATCTTTTTTAACATTTTTTTTCGAATATTGGCTGAATATAACTGCATAGAAAATACTTTACATTTCATGAAAATGTTTGAATAATTTTAAAAAAAATTTTATGTTTGAACTTAACAAATGGAAAGAAATTGGTCTCGAATAAAACTTAAATTATATTTTTATGAATCCTTATGATTTAAAGATTATTTTAACAACTTTAAAATTTTTTCGAACATAACTTCGAATTTTCGAAATTAAGTTCGAAATTGGAAAATGTAAGATACAATAAGCAAATCGATTTGCTTTTTGATACAACCTTTTTGATAGAATATTGACTTAATATAACTGCATAGAAAATACTTTAAATTTCATAAAAATGTTTGAATAATTTTAAAAAATTTTTATGTTCGAACTTAACAAATGGAAAAAAAATTGGTCTCGAATAAAACTTAAATTATATTTTTATGAATCCTTATGATTTAAAGATTATTTTAACAACTTTAAAATTTTTTCGAACATAACTTCGAATTTTCGAAATTGGAAAATGTAAGATTTTAAACCTCAAATATATTTTAATAAATCCACATGATATAGAGCTTATTTTGAAAGCTTTAAAATTTTTCGAACAATAGGTCACAAAAATTTTCAAATTTAATTCAAAATTAGTTCGAAATTGAAAAATTTAAGATAAATCCAAATTATATTTTTATGAATCCTCACGATTATTATTTTAACAGCTTTAACATTTTTCGAAAATAAGTTCGAATCTTGTTTTAAAATTTTTCAAAAATAATTTCGAATCTAGTTTTAAAATTTTTCGAATATAAGTTCAAATTTTCTAGAAAAAAAAATGTAAGAATTGTCATGCTCAACGTATCATTTTAAAAGTTTTGAACTAAAATTTCGATTCGAAGTTTGAAAATGTTACAATTTGGACTCGAATAAAACTAAAATTATTTATTTTTGAAATATTATATCGAAATTGACAAATTTCTAATGTTGGACTTGTATGAGTTCAAAAATATTCAAAATAAAGTTTGAATTTAAAATATTTAAGAATTTGGTTTTAAATAAATCCAAAATTATCAGGCCTATTCTGAATAATAAAATCCTTGGGATTTTGTTCCCTCTCCTATACATAAAACCTGCAAAAGGGAATAAAATCCCGGGGAATTATAGTTCATAATTGGTCGATAATAATTTTTAACATCTTTACAAATTTTTCAAACAGTTTTGTATTCGGAAAGATTTTAAGCTCTAAATCAATAAATAGGTTTCATAAAATTCTAATGTTGTTTTTCTTTGAGTCATTCTTTATACAATTTTGGATTTCGAACTTAAAAATATCAAAAATAACTTCAAAATTTTAACGAATTTTTTACTTAAAACTAAGTTTTTATATTATACTGAATTCAAAAGAATGTCGACTCTATGATGTCTTCTAGAACTAGCCGAGTACAGGAGATATTCCAGGAATTAATTTGGAACAATTCGAGACCTATCTACGTCGTATGCGCCTGTCAGTTAATATGCTAAACAATTTTGAAAATGCAAGAAAGAAAAATGTTTCTAAATACTTGATCATAACGCAATAAGTTATGGGTAATAAGATTCGGAAAACACGAATTTGGGTCAACATTGAACAAAAAATGTATCTTAAGTTGATCTCTACAATTTTACCATTTTTAACACGATATTTTTGGAATCAACCTATACCAAACAAAATTAATTTTGAGGAAAATTTCGATGATTAGGAAACGCTAAAATTTATAGACAATTCCTCAAAATTTTCTTTCAAAATATTCTTTAACTTGTCTAAACAAACGTATAGTACTCTTATAATTTATGAATGTCCTTCTTAGTTCTTTTTTATTTAAAAATAAGTTGTGAGGTCATAGGTTAAATATTAAATAAAAATGATAATAAATAAAAAATGCATTACAGTAATGTAGTAGATATATGTACATTTAGGATGTTTATGAAATTCTAGTTAAAATATTGAATGAATTCTCGGCAAAAATAAAATCACTAAAGAAAACATAATAATTGGACTGAAATTGAAAATGTAAGCTGGTATTGTTTAAGGAATGGAAAATTTAAGTAAAGAGATATATAAATAAACATGTCTGTATATTTTGTTTATAAGCAAATTTAACAAACTAAATAATCGATATCTGCATACCAAAACTAACGGCTATTAATTAACTATAACAAATTAAATGAAACTTCAAATTTTCAGTTTATAACATGAATTTTTCTTTTTTTTTATTGAAGTCTTGTTGTTGCCATTAAATAAAAACAAATGGAAAATTTAAAATAGATTGTATGAATTAAAGAAATGTATACTAAAATATAATAATAAAATCAAGGCAAAAAGAAATAAATAAAAAAAAAGCTATTAAAAATATAAAACAAATAAATGAAGTTTTCTTTATAAATTTATTATTGTGTTTTATTTACTAAAAAAATGTATTGTTTTTTATTTTATACACAGTTTAACTTGTTTTCTTAGTGTTATATGTTTTTTTTATTAATTAAGTATAGACTTTTTCACTCAATTCCCCCAATTTTTTGTTTGTTTTTTAATGGTATATAAAAAAAAATTAAATTTATTAAATAAAATAAAACATTACCCCAAAAACTATTGATTACAAATGAACATATTTATCATTAATGGTATAAAAAAAAGAAAAATTAACAAAATTAAAATTGTTTTATATATTAGGAAATGTTTTGTGGTTTTTTGTTTGTTTTTGTTTCTTCTTTTTCTTAGAGTTTTTGTTTCTTATTTTGTACACGGCAAAACACGGCGGGTTATTTGTGTTTTATTTTATTTTCTTGTTTCAAAATTTTACTCTACTTATTAAGAATTAATTTTGTGCTGGTCTTGCCGCTCTTTGGTCATTGTTTTCTTCGGGATTTTGTTCACCATCTGCAGCTGCTGCGGCTTCATCATTATTGCCCTCGGCTGCTGGCTGCTGTTGTTCGGCTTCTTCACCACCCCAGTTAAAACCACCGGGACGATCTTCTGGAAGTGGCTGGTAATTACGATCAATGTGTTCATTAAATAGTACTTTCCTATGGATAAAGGAATGCATATTATTTGAGATTATAATGAAATAAATAAAAATAATAATATAATTAAAAACTGATTTTAAAAAATTACTAGTTTTTAACATGATTAATTTCGAGGACATATTAAAAAACGCAAAAATTTTAAATAAGGTCTATTCTAGGGTTCTATAAATCGACCTTCAAATTGTAGAACAATCAAACTTTTTGTAAACAAAAAAGTAGAACAATCGATTAATCAACTTGAACTTTTAAAAATTAAAAAAACTTTTTGCAAAAAAAAGTTTCTAAAAAGTATTGACCTATTACATTCTTTAATTGTGAGTTACAATTTGAAGAATCATCAATTCTTCTAATGCATTAAATCTTTAATTGTTATTGATTAAATTCCAAAATGAATTAGTTCCTATGAAATATTAAGGCATAAGTATTATTTTAAAAAACCCCACATGCCATCAATTTAATACAACTAGAAAATACTTCTATTACTCTTCAAATGCCATGATAATAAAGGCCATTTTAAAAATACTTACAAAAAATTCGGTGTTTTTAACATTTTATAGCCGCTTCTTTGGAATGGAAATACATCTTCTAGGAAATAATAAATGTGACCCACACCCATGCCTATAATATCTACCCATATAGTATTGCCCAATATCATGGAGCAGCATAACAGTACCCAAGGTAAGTAGGGAGCCTAAAAACAAACAAAAAACAGTCACATCTACAAATAACTTTTATAAATATACCCTACTCACCTGAAAATTCATAACACCAAAGAAATTCATGCGTACAAATGGATTCCTTCTCGACCACACATATACCAACATCAGCGTAAAGGCCTGACCCAAAAACAACAAGTTCACAAACAAACCAAAGAATGTCATAAGGGCACCACCAAACAGGAACATCATAACAAAATCAGAGCTACGACCACGGAATGAACCCTCCTCCAGCATGCGACAGTAGCGGTATGTGAAGACCATGTTGAAAAAGAAACTTATGCCCACCGAACCGAAAAACAGGAACGTAGTGGCCAAACGCCATAATTGCAATTTACGTATAATCAAGATGGGATTAAAGTACAATTGTAGGGGGGAAACTAAATCCAAATGCTAAAAATAAACAAAAAGTGCATTTATTGAACAAAAACAAATACAAGTGGATGACGTGTACATAATGACCCAAAGATTTATCTACTACTACTAACCACTGCCAATGTTGTGATAACACATGCCGTCGTATAGAAACGTGTTACTGGTGGTATTTCAAGATAAAATTGTCTTATTGATTGCAGCGCCATGGCGCACTTTGTGTGTGAGTTGTATTATAGACAGGATACCTGCAAAAGCCGCTAAAAATTTGTTACAAATTCTATGTTGAAACAGTTTGTCCACAAGCACTGCTAAAAGATTAATAATTTAAGACTTTATTTTGCAATAGAATATTGCCACAACTTTTGCAATAGAGTTTTATTAAAACAATTTACTAGAATGCAACTTTTCCTAAGCTGCACATATAAATATTTACAAAAATCTTAGGCCACCAAGTATTTCTGCTTCTGCCGCACAAAATTTTATTCCAAACAGCTGTTTGACACCAATTGGTAATGAGACAACTCTGTTTTAAACAAAAAGTAGCCACTATTTACTCCCATAATAGGGAAATTAGCCGTTAGAGAAAAATATTCAAACTAAAAGTCATTTTAAAGCAGTTTAACAATTATTTAAGTGGCTAATTCTTAAGTGTATAGCTTAATTATAACTTAAACTATCGATTACTGTTTAAAATTATTTAAAAACTAGTGTTTTTTAACATTTCAAAATAAGGCAAATTTCTTCTTCGAATTCCAAAGTCCGGCAACTCCTAATTGTTGTCACTAGCTTAGTACCAGTGACAGTTTAGTTCCCGCGTTCGCTTTATTAAAAATTTTACGTGAAAAATATTACAGTGCAATTAATTTACAAATAATTCCATAAATAATTAATCAACAATTAATTAAATTACTTCAAAATGTTCATTAAAGTGCGTATTATTCGGGTAATATGAAGTTTTGTTGGGACGTTATGAATTTCTATTAGAAAAATGTGTGCAAATGTAAGTGAGTCTCATTAAGTTCATTTTTTCTTATAAGAAACTGCAAGTAATAAGAACAAGCAAGAAAGATGTCGGTTATGTACAAATACAACTAAAGGGAAAGAAACACTTGTCGCGTTATTTGTGCTGGACGTCAACGGATGGACAATGGAGGAAATAAAATTTTGTCTTGTAGTTAATGTTGTTGTTTGTAATAGAATAGGAATATGTATAGTTAATGGTGTATGGTTGTATGTATGTTTGTGTGTCGGTATGTATGGAAATGCGGTTTTAGCGTAAATGTGATTTGTTGTTGTTGGTAGCTATGTTGGTAGATATGCATTTCTGCAGGCATTAGGTTTTGTTGTTGGTACTTTGGTGCACTTAGTGAAAGTTTGAGAAAAAAGTTGCAAATATTTGTTAGTATATATGTAAATATGTACATATGTATGTATGTACATATAAAGATGCGAATATAAGAATTTTGTGTTAAATGTTTTTTTTTTTGTAAATGTGTCCGAGTCGATCATCCTAGTAAGGATCGACTCGGGTTTTCAACCGGTTTTAAAGCCGCATTTTTCTAATAGAGACTTAATCATATTATGAAAGGCCTATTTTTGAGTAAATCATTTTAAATCGCATTTCTAACTGGAAAACAATGGGAGTGAAACTATAAAATAGCCTTAAATTTTACAGAAATGTCTCTCCATTTTCTTAATATTTTATACATTAAGGAGTTTATGTAAATCTACTATTAGACTATTACTATTAGACTATTAGATCTAATTTTATACTAATCTTTGAAAATGTTAAAAAATAGTTCGGACCATGTTAAAAAAAAAAAAAAATAAAAATAAAAGCGTTTCTTTTATAACGAGCACTTTTTTCAAATGTCAACAATATATTTGAAAACCGGTTTTCGGAAAATGTCGAATAATCGATCACCTTAGTATTTAAGTTTTGCAAGAGAAAAGAAACTTCAATCTAAACATTTAAAAAGAGAAACACGTTTAAGGGTTAATTTCGACTTTTCCGATGTTCTCATAAAGATAAGTGTCTTCATTATATATTTTTTCTAAATTTTATTTAAATCGGTTGAAAACCGAAAAATATTTCGCTAGGGTTTCAAGAATATAATCGAATAATCGATCACCTTAGTATTTAAATTTTGCAAGAGAAAAGAAACTTCAATCTAAACATTTAAAAAGAGAAACACGTTTAAGGGTTAATTTCGATTTTTTCGATGTCTTCATAAAGATAAGTGTCTTCATTATATATTTTTTCTAAATTTTATTTAAATCGGTTGAAAATCGGATAATATTTCGCTAGGGTTTCAAGAATATATCCCACCTTCATAGTTTATGAGTTAACATTATTCGCCTTTACCAAAACTTTAAAAAGATTTTATATAAAATGCATAACAGTAGGCAATTTAAGTTAATTTTCATAAATATTACCAAAAAAAAAATTTTCTTCGAAATCTTCAAAATTCAAATCTCAGGTATCGCTAATCTGTAGGAGATATCGATCTAATTTCTTTACTATTTTATTCGCTATTTTATTACCCATAAATTACATATGTAGATATTTTTCAAAATTTTAAAATTTGCTTAACAAATTATTTAAATTGGAGTTTTGAAACTGCTCTCTAAAGGTTTTATCATAATAACTATAACCTAAATTAAGGCTTACGTTATCTAATGAAGATAAATACATCATATTTTACAAAATATGTTAATATGTTTTCGGTGTAATAACTTTTACTACTTTTATATCTTATTGAAACGATAATTGAATATATATTCCAATTTTTTGCTGCTAAAATCCAAAAGGATAAATTTCTTACCAAAATTTTTGTTAAAATCGTTTTCCTATTATTTAAAAAGTTTTTTTTTTCATCGTTGGCTTGTGTTATTAGAGATACAATTTCCGTTTCCCATCTTTTTTTTTTTAGATAAATATTCGTTAAGCTGCTAAAAAGCTTTCCATTAAAAGGCTTTTCGTTTAAAAGTTCATTATATTCAAAAGCTTTTGCTTTATTTTAGCTTATGTACATATTATGATTCCAATAAGAAAAGTAAGAAGGTTGCCTTATTAGTTGAAGATGACTGCAGAAAATGACAGCATTGCCATTTATTTAGTTTACAGGGGAAATTGTAACGCCATTTAAGTTTAAATCTTTAGATAGGTTTTTGTCAATTAAAATACATTCATAACAAATTTTGTAGCCATTTCAACATTCAAATTTTAGTTAGATATTCAGGCCTTAATTTGCACACAAGGGCCTAAATAAATGAAAAACGCCCAATAAATCATAATTAGTATTAACGGTCGATCTGTAATGTCGGTTATAATTATAGTTTTTAATTCGTTAACGGTTCGAAATATGTATGGTTTTTATCTAAAATTAAATGTATAAAGTTTGTATGTCAGTGTGTTTAAATTAGAAATGTCGATAATGTCGGTTTTAATGCGACTTTGTTTTCTAATGAAATAAATCTAAAATTAAATTTCTCTATTAAAAAAAATATAAAATATAAAAAAGTAAAAAAATAAGCATTTTTTTTAATAAAGTTCTTAAAAAAGTCAAGTTCGTAATAAAATAAAAAATTGAAAAAATATAATAAAAAAAAGCTTTTAATTCAAGAAAAGTGGTAAAGTCAATAAAAAATATAATAAAGTCCATTTTTATAAATAAAATGGTCCATAAGTGTTTTGATAATATGAAAATGTATGTATACAATATATAAAAATTCTTCAAAAAATCATAAAATTAAAAATACATACATATTTTTAAATAAAAAAAAATCTCGAAAGCTCTTCAATTACAATTACAAAAAGGGGAATACATATTATTAAAAGTATTGCAGTTTTTAAACAAGGTAAGTACAGAAACTCTTTTAAATTTTAATATTATATACAGTCGCTGACTGATTAATCAAGACAGAGCCTAGAAATCGTATCAAGTGACCCAACTTTTAAAATCGATGTCTTCCGATTTGGATGAAATTTGCACAAACGTTAGTACTATGGGCAGATGCAAATTTTCAACTCTATCGGTCAAGAACTGCCGGAGGTCTAAGTTGGACATTTTGGTCATACAGAGTTTTTTCAAATGAGTGTAACTTTTCACTTATTGGTCCTAGCAAAAATTGTCCAAAGGAGTTCAGATAGCAATTTCTTCATTCTTTACAAAATTTTTTATTATTTTTAATTTTTTTTAAATGGGCCTTTTTTTCTTTTTGTTCAAAAGAATATCCAATAGTACTAACCTTGACGCAAATTTCATCAAAATCTATTTTTTGAGTTGGGTCACTTGAAATGAAATTCCTCATATGTATTTTAAGTTACTTAGATCCACTAACGAGGTATTCTTGGAAATTCGAATTTTTAGGTGGTAAAATAGGATAAATTCGGTAACCTCATATCTCCTAAAGTAAAACAGATACAACGAAAATTTTACACTTATCGCAATTCGGATTATTGTAGAAGTAAACGGGTAAAAATTGTATTTTGGAACTTTTTTTTGCCTTCAATATTATTTTATATCTGTGAACGTAGATGTTAAATTGATATCGCCTTTGTAGCTTATTGCAAAATAGAAAATATTTAAAACGTACTTTTTGTACAAATGAAAAGTATTTTTCACAAGAGGGAAGTTTTTGGTACTTTTTTGTTTTTAACGGGTATTTTAAAAAATAAATATGGGCTTATCCGTATAAATTTTGTTATAGCGATTAACTTTGACATTTAAGTTAGTTATGCAGAATTTCATTGTGAAACTAGTGTCTACAGTGAATATTCAACTTCAAGTCAAGGCGAAATATTGGAACGATTTTAACCATTTTCAAAAGTCCTTGGGCCAAAGAAAAGCATTTGTCAAAATTTCATTAAATTGTCTTAAAAATTACGACCTGTAACATGCGCATAAGGTTTACATGTACACACAGACGGACATAGCTTAATCGACTAAGTGAAGAACCGATGGGTATACTTTAAGGTGGGTATAGGGACCAATATTTGTTGGTATTACAAACGTCAGCTCAAACCCATAATATTATTCCTACTACAGTGGTGTATGTTATAATAAAAAATACAATGTGGCCTCCGGTAGGTTAGTGGTTAGTGTTCTAGGTAGACCGGAGGTGGTGGTTTCGATTCCTACCAGAGGCCTAGGTGTATTTCTTCGGATTTGATGTACATATATACATCCTCCTTTCAAACTAACTAACTAACTAGTCTGACAATCCACAATAGGCAACTTTTTTGTAATCTGAATCACACATAAAAGCTCATAAGGTGGCGTAACTTAATGTCCATGAACGTTAAAAAAAACTTAATTTTGGGAAACCGGTATGCGAGTTTTTATTCCCTGCCTCCTGCAGAAGGCCCGGTTGTACAGAACACATTTTAAGACAGTCCAAAATGCAACATAAACCGATGTTTCAAAAATATATCGTAAAAAAGAGCGCC